GCTTCGTCTGGCATTTGCCATGACGATTAATAAATCGCAAGGTCAAACTTTTGCCAAAGTTGGGATTTATCTGGCCGGACCTGTGTTCACACACGGCCAACTTTATGTTGCGTTTTCAAGAGCTCGCTCTAAGACCAATGTCAAAGTCAAGATTCTTACTACGGATAAGCAGGGTCAACTCTTGCCCAGATCCCAAAAAATGTTCACACGAAATCCCGTGTACAAAGAAGTACTATAAAGCCTTCTGTCCGTGGATGCGACCCACATTAAAAAAGCGTGCTTCTTCTCCATGAGGATGTCTTTAAGAAAATCCAGGTGGTTCATGAGAACTTCATACAGCAATACTTAAAGTGAGGTGGTCTTTGAGAAAGACTGGGTGGTTGGTGGGAACCTCTTTCATATCAAAAATCAGTGTACAGGGTAGTTCGTGTGCACATAAGCCATGTGAGCAGGATATTTCATGTGTACGAAAGCCATAAAGGTTAGACCCGGAGGATCCGGGCTTGGACTAGTTTTTATTAATTGCAGATGGTATTCATTCGGCTCGACAAATTAAGAGGGACAATACGAATTAGTTGGGAACATACTCTCATGTGCAAAGTGAACGTTTCAGCAAAATAGTTCCAGTGTGTTATTTAGGTCAAAAGATGTTGGTTACTTTTTTGTCATACTCTGTGGAAAACAACACAAACTCGGTCACGATTGTGAGTTCAGATAACGCAATGGAACCCAGGATTGGGTTAAGAGACTAGACCATTCATTGAATCTAGAATCTAGTCCTGACTTATTATTACAATCTACGCTAAACCAATGATAGTAAGAAAAGTCTAAGACTAAAAATATTCTAGGAATGAGTCAAAACCTAGAATAAAGAGAGCAAAAGTCTCCTAAAACTGCCTACCATATTGTTGGGAAAATGGTTGTCGGTATTCCTTTCCTGTATTATAACGAAAAGTCGAAGTTGTTTTTTCTGCTCATTTTGCTATCATCTCTTTACATTTATATTTTTCTGTGATAATTGTCAGTGCAGAAAGTTGTTTACATTGTTGTTCCATAAACCACCAATATTTTTTATTTTATAGCTGGGGTTGAATTTTCGGTGTGGTCACTATTGAGTGCCACCACGTTATAGAAATTATTGCATATATATGTAATGCATGATACATGGTAATAGGAGACCTGAAATAAAGGGAGGTGAAGTAGAGATCCTGTGAGAGAGACAGACAAGGCTTTCAGTAGCCCTCCACCAGTTGCAGTCTTCGTATCCAACAGCATAGGAGGAAATTTCCACTCCACCCGGTTTTGAGAAAGAATGTGAATGATTTCCTTGCACTCCTCTTTTTTGATCCCCCGCAACTCACCTTTCAATTCTGACAATATAGACATATTAAACGTGAGTTAGAAAAGGAAAATGTGAAAACATAATTGCAGGAATTCGATTCATCCCCTTTCTCAAAACACTTGTCTCCCTAGGTAGTAGCAACCAATCATGAATCGAAAAAAGATGCATCTTGGTTTGTGAAGATCTCGAAAACAGTCGCATCTACAATGCAGAAAACGCTAAAATGGCTTGTTAAGTAGGACACCCCTCTGTGCTTTTTTCGAAAGCTGAAATGCTATAAGGAACCGACCTCAAGAACTTGTCAAAGGAATAGCCATGGCTTTTTTGTGCGTGAACCTGGAGCACAATTGCCAGTGGTTTACCTAAGGCTGAGGTACAAGACTTGTCAATCTGTCCGTTCTGCATTCATTAGTCCAGAATATATTCCATAACTAATGGCCACTATCCTCGAATTACATAAAACATTCCAAGGCAATGGTCAATGTATTGATAATTTGTTTATTATAGAAACTAGCTGTTACCCGTGAACCATTCACGTCAACTTCGACTTCGACTTCTACTAACTGATCGACTTTTGTCTGCATTCAAATGAGACACCGATCGAATTTCGGACACATGTCTTGAAAACAGAAGTGGTGTCCTGTCATCAGAGATCCTTGAATCGTTTTTTTTTAATTTAAATGTAATAAGAAACCAAGGAACAACCCCATTTCAGAGCCAAAGATTTAAAGAAACACGGAGCTGGAGTCACTGTTATCACCCACTTTGAAGTGAAGCCTTATTTGATTGATTCTCGGTCAAACATTGCGCGCACGAAGAGGGTGGTGCGTCACAAGAGCATACCTTGAACAGACATGGAGAGAGCAGTTGAAAAAGAAGACACACTAAATGCTTTCATTTTGTGCTCTTCTCACCGAATTTCTTTGAACACAACATTAATAGTCATCACTGGAGGGTAACCTTCTTTTCTTCAGCCTTCACCATGCCATTTTTTACCTTCATCCACGACTTTCACTTTGATGTAGTTCAAAGAATGCACTTTAGAGAAGGCAACATAAAGTTGTCAATGGGTGAACTCTGGCTGTGGTAGCAGTAGACCAACTTTGCTGAATGTTTTTCCTTCTGACTTGTTAATTGTCATGACAAAGGCCAGGCGAGTGGGAAACTGGCGACGCCTAAGGATGAAAGGTTAGTTATTGTCTGATAGTGCCAAATCAATACTTGGAATCATGACTCGTTTACCCCTGGCAGCACCGGTTATCACTTCTGCGTCGATCACGTGATTTTGCATTTGTCTCACAATTAGACGTGTTTCATCACAAAATCCTTGACGAATATTAATGTAACGAAGAAGCAATATGACAGCTCCAGCCTTCGCATTTAGTCGATGGGGAGGCATTCCTGAAGGAGTGAGACTGTTAAGAAATTGGATGGGGTAGTTGTTTTGTTCGCCTTCGTTGTCGCATTGGACCCCATCGATACTGGTGTACGTTTGGGCTTCACCAGGTAAGCGCATTAAAATATATTCGTTGACTTTCAGTGATTCTTCATTCTTCGGGCATAGAATGACAATCTTGCTCAAAGTATCTACATCCTCAAGGCGGTCGCCAAAAATGGCGTTGATCAAGTTGCCTTTCACAACGCAAACAACAGGCAATTCAATCTTGTCTTCCATCGATGGAAGCTGTCCATTGCCAAACTGATTCAGGCACTCGGAAAATTCTTGTTCTCCTCCTCCAGTTCTCTTTTTTCAGTTGGAGAGTTTTTAAATGGCGCCACAGTGGGCCTCGCTTGATGCTTGCATTGAAGATTCCAGCTTGATTTGTAAAGCGAATCACATGCAAAATTTTACGGAAATCACCACCGAGCACCATGACTTTGCCTCCGAATGGCGCTTTACAATCCATCACATATTGAAGCATTTTCTCGATGGTTCTGAGTGCACTTGAAGGCGCCATTGGTGCTTTATCCCAGATGATTAATTTCGCACTCTTGATTTCTCTGGCCTCTTCACAATTTGGCCGTATACTGCATGATCAGTTGTCCATGATTGGCACTGGTAGCTTGAAGCAAGAGTGAGCAGTGCGCCCACCTGCCAACAATGTAGCAGCAATGCCTGTCCACGCTACAGCCAATACAGATTCCCATCTACCTCGTAGTAGGTGGATGAGGGTGTTGTAAAGTTAGGTCTTCCCACAGCCAAAAACCAAAACTAAGTGCCCCAGGAGAATGAAGCAGCAACAGTAGCAAGTGGTACCGTTCCACATCGTGCGGACTCACTGAGAATATTCTTCCAATTACATATTCACCACCTCGCTGACGTTTCGTCCAGTTTTTGTCTTGATTCATTGAACACGTAGTGGTCTGGGATATCGGTATATGGGAACTCCCGCGTTTGCAGGTCATCCTGGTTCAACTGAAACCATGCTGTGATTGTGGTGTTTGGTTCACTTGCTCTTTGAAGCGCAGCAGCTTCTTCGCCATTTCGAAAGTATACCGGTTGGTTAAGTGGCAAATGGACTGCAAGTCGTATGATGGTATGGGATTGTTGGTGCATCTTGTTTTCCAGTATTATCCACATTGCCTCTGGTGGACTGAGGAATCCAGCATCGAAGAATGTGCTGATTTCATCTCTTACTAGTATTGCTGATGGCTCGTTTTCATTTCCTTGAACAGCTCGCCTAAGATCGATGTTGGCGCACTCGTGTCCTTTGTACGCATACTTGAATAAGTATTTAATGCTCTAAATAGTTGCATATATTTCGACGTTGACATGGGCGTTCATCCTCAGCAGGAAGTATGAATTGCATGGGACAACCCATCGATTCACTACTTCCTTTTTTTCCAATTTGAACCTTCCTTCCATTGTCCCTTCGACGGTAACCATAAACGTTCGGCAGAATTTCAGATTGAAAATCCCTCGGAAACCCCTTCGAACAGGTTCCATCTTGCATGCATGGTGCTCTTGGATTAATTGCTCCACAAGGACCATGGATCATATTGTTCTTGACGATATCGTGAAGCCGAGAAAATTCGCTTGGGTAAGGGATTTCGCTCCACACCAGCCTGTTAATTACAGCTTGGTCTATTGGTTTGTCTTCATCCTTGAGAATGATGAAGATGTGTGCATGAGCCAGTCCTCGCTTCTGATTTTCAATGACATACAGAAAAGCGACTGGAACTCCTGCGACGTTTTTCCGTCATTTCGTCCATGAACACTGCCAACTTCAGTTGGAAGACGTGGACAATTAAGTCTGGCCGATTAGAAGCTTCTTGTCCAGGTTCCAAGTATTCTTCAATTTCTCTCCATCATGGGTTGTATGTGACGGTAATGAAGAGATCAGATTCATCATACTTTCGCACAATAGATCTTGATAGTTCTGCTGCATTGCACTAGGCTTTCCTTGAAATAAAGAGGGCAAAATTAATTTTTTCCGGCCTTGGCACCTCCTTTCGCAGCCTCATTTGCTAAATGATCCATCAGTCCTTAGTACAACTCTACTCGAAGTTGAGTTTGGTTTTCTTTGAGGATTCTGAGGCGATTGCCTTCACTTTTCACGTATGCGTCAACAATGTACTGCTGAGTCAGTTCGCCTTCGTTGTGAATTGGACTGAATTCGTTTTGTCGTGTGGCTGTAAAACTGTAATGTGGTAACTTTATTCCTCACGGTTATTCGACGTTCTTCATTGTGATTCATACCAGGTGTCCAGCCAGCATCACCTGATGGAAACAGAATCGGATAACCCAAAGGATCACAGTAAGGACTGAAGGTGGAAATGTTGGTGAGACCTTCGCCATGTGGGTACACGACAATATCACGATTTTCAGGACATTTCCTTATTCTCCAACAAAAGTTTCTAACACTTCATTGACATTCGGGGCATTGCAGCGGCGCTGGTCGTCACTTGCGCCCCGTTTTGTGAACATTTTGTCAGGACGCATTTCCGTGCCTTCTCTTTCCGCTTGCTGCTTTTCTTATTGTTCTACTTAATGCATTTGCCTATAGACAGATGCAAAGGGACTCATTCTTCTGATGACTTCATCCAATATATCCATGATTTCATCGAGGCATTTTGAGTTTGTCTCTCTTTCCATTCGCTCTCTCAGCGCTTCAGAGGAGTCCAAAACGTAGAGTTGTCCATACCTGCGATTCTGGCCCTGTGCAGGATGCAACGATGCCGTTCGGTGGTAGAGTTGGGAATGAATGCAGAAGCAATAAGGGCCTGTTCCTGGTGGTGGGGTCAATTGCGCACCCAGAGAGGCAAATGGTGAAGCGCTGTTGTAATTCCGGGTGTTATCTTGGAAGTCCTTCGCCATGTGATCACTTCCAGTCATCAACGTTTTGATTTCATCAGGTAAGTGATTAAAATGTGGCAGTTGCACATTTCCCTTGTGACAGCAGACTCTCAGATTCGAAATCTCAGACTTCGAATTGCAGTGCGTGACAGGACTCACAACGACGATCATTCTTCCAACGTGCATTTCCTCAGGAGAAGTTGTGTAGTTTGATGCCAAAGCAATGAATGTCATTCTCGCCGGTCTTCGGCGATTCCTCAGCCTCTCAGCCCCAGCATGTTGCCTTGCTTGATGCTCTTCCTCCGTTTCTCTTTGTCGTCGGGCTCGTTTTCGTTGAGCTTCTAGTTGAAGTTGCGCAAGGCATTGATCCTCAGTTTCATTTTTTCTCTTAGTCATACTGTTCGCGAATACAGGGTATACCGAAATTGATTGAACACAGAAGGTTACGTAGCCAGGCCGGCCTCACCTAAGCCTACAAGTCTCTGCTTTTTTAGGCCATAATCTAGGTGGAAGGGACTTTTGTTCAGTCAAGCCAGGGAAACGTTGTATAAGTTCTCAATGCGTATACACCACGCCGCCACACTCCGTACGAACTTAATAGATCAGATGTAGGAGGAATGGGAACAGCCTAGCACGAACGTGACATCATGGGATGGCTGGAAGCGTTCGCAGAGCCGCTTAGTAAAAAGGACGAACCCAGAGACTCCGAGTTCCGAAGCTTAGACCCCTGAGCGGACTGCGGTCTGGACCGATTGGCCCGACGCGTGGCAGTGTTTGCTTTATTGCTCGATTCCAGATGCTGACAGGTAAGAGAAAAATCACTTCCCAAAGCACGGGTAGGCCTATCGGGACAGAATAGGCCTAACCAGTGGCGTATTTTGGCTGAAATGTCTGGCAGGGGGAGGGGCAAGGCAACAAAACCGGGGCGCCAAACCCTACCTGAGTGATATCAGGTGAGAAAATATTTCCTCCAAGGTGGCGCCAGGCTCTGTCCTATGGGCTGCCCCCCTGCCCCCCTGTAAAATGCGCCACTGGGCCCAACCCACCTTATGAAATGAATTCCCAATGAAACAGCAAAACCTCGATATTCGGCACAAATAAAAAGAAACGTCGTTTTTCTCTCATTCAATCCCTTAATCCCTCCAAACTATGATGCTCGATTTGCAAGGTGTGCTTGTTAAGATTCTCCTTTTTGGGCGGGTTGCGAACGATCATCGTCTTCTTGCTTCGCTGAGCGTCAAGCAAATCAAGCAAAAATGGTAGGAAATTTTCGGACAAAGCAACAGCTCATGCTTCTAGCGTCAACGTGAAGATAATAAAATAAATCAAAGAAGGGGTTTTGGAGGATTTGCTTTTCCCTAATTTTCTGGGACATGACGGAAGTTGTCAATTAATATCAAATTCAGTATGAAT